AAGAGAGAGGGCAACAGGGAAGGTGCATCGTGTAACTTTCAGGGGCAAATTTTATCCTGCTTGTGGCCCTATTTATTTATTTGAGACAGGTTCTTACTTTGTACCCCAGGCTGGAGTGCAGTAGTACAATCACAGCTCACTGTAGCCTTGAACCCCTTGTTCAAATGATCCTCATGCCTCAGCCTCCCAAGTAATTGGGACCACAGGCATGTGCCACTACACCTGGCTAAGTTTTTAATTTAAACATTTTTGGGGGGCCAGGTGCAGTGGCTCACACCTGTCATCCCAGCACTTTGGGAGGCTGAGGCAGGTGGATCACCTGAGGTCAGGAGTTTGAGATCATCCTGGCCAACATGATGAAATCCCATCTCTACTAAAAATACAAAAAATTAGCCAGGTGTGGTGGCAGGCACTTGTAATCCCAGCTTCTCAGGAGGCTGAGGTAGGAGAATCGCTTGAACCCAGGAGGCGGAGGTTGCAGTGAACTGAGATCACATCACTGTACTCCAGCCTGGGTAACAAGAGTGGAACTCTGTCTCAAAAACTAAAAATAATAAAATAAAATAATTTTTGTTTTTTGTAGAGATAGATAGGGTCTCCCTAAATGTTGGGATTAGAGGCATGAGCCACTGTGCTTGGTCTTGTAGCCCTGTTCAAACAGTAGCTTGTTGAGTGTTAGATCTCAGAAGAGTTCGTGAACACGTGCTCAAGCAGCAGCCATGTCCAGCACGCTCCTGAAGGCACCCCTGTGCTGCACCTTCTTGAGCCACGTGTTTCTTTCTGATGATCCCAGATGTGTGACAGTCTCTCCCTAGCCCTGCTGTGGACTCTTTGCCCCGGTAAATAGGCAGGTTTGAGCATTTGACCCTCTGACCTTCTCCAAGTCGATGGTGAGGTCCTCAACTTCTGCCTGGAGTCTCTGTTTATTTTTCTCGAGGGAGGCAGCCCGAGCCTGGGCAGTTTCAGCTGCTTCTTCTGCCTCCTGAAGTCTGGCAGCCAGTTTCCTCCTGCAAATGAGGGCCAGAGGGGCTGTCAAGGAAACATAGGCACTCACAGGCACCGCCTTCTCATTGCCGGGGTCACAGTGTGGTGGGCATGGCACTAAGCTCTGGTGCCAACATTGGAAAAGATGCAATGTTTACAGGAGAGCCACGACATTCACTCTCTTATTTATTCATTCAACAAACACTTATTTTCTTGACTCTGCCCCAGAGATTGCTGCAGGTGTTAGGGATGTGGCAGTGAATAAAACAGGCTAGGCTATCTGCCCTAACAAACAAAATGTTTGTTCTGGAGCTAGGGGGAGGCAGGCAATACATGTCCTATAGAACAAAGTACTGTGGTGACAAATAGAGCCAGGAAGGGGACAGGCAGTCCAGGTGGGAGGGGGTGACAATGTCAAATGCAGACTTGGAGGAGACTCTCTGAGAAGCGGACACAGGAGCAAAGGTCTAAGTCAGGGGATAGAGGGGCCCTGCGGGTGTCTGGGGCAGAGACAAGCTTAGGGGTTGAGATTTAGGTTTAGCCCAGGAGTAGACTTGGGGAAGGACCAGGCAGGGCCCAGCAGCCTCCATAACAAAGGCCTGGAGGACAGAGGTGGAAGTCACAGGAAGGCGAATTTAGGCTCAAGGTGAAAAAGTGCGTAGAGCTTTAGATGAAAGTATTCCATCTGCTTGGAGTGTATTTCAGTATAAGGCAAAACAAAACAAAACAAAATAAGTATTGCATCAGCTGGAAGTCACTATGCCTTATTTGCTATCACATTACCAGAAATTTCAGTGAATAGATGGGACCAGTCAGCAGGCTGGGATCCCAGAAACACTTCGAGCATGTGTGCCATTTTCTATATCTAATTTGGCTTTATACAAGAAAAAATGTGGCCATTTGTTCAGAGAACCCAGAAGTTTATAGAGGAGTTTGTTAAGCTGACTATGTTTTTTGATTAAATTTGTTGTGGCTCCCCTCTGCTGCCTGGCCTAGGGTGCCTAACTCACAGGGTTTCCCTGGGTGCATGGACCCAGGGGCATCCAGGCCAGCCTCCTTTTACACAAGAGAGAGGCTGAGAGCCACTTTCATGTCCCCTCTTATTTCCTTAGGTGTCTACTTCTGTAATTTTTTTTTTCTTTTGAGATGGAGTCTTGCTCTGTCATCCATGCTGTAGTGCAGTGGCACAGTCTCAGCTGATGGCATCCTCCACCACCCGGGTTCAAGAGATTCCCCTGCCTTAGCCTCCTGAGCAGCTGGGACTATAGGTGTGTGCCTCCACTCGGTTTTTGTTTTTTTTTTTTTCTTTTTTTGAGACGGAGTTTCGCTCTTGTTGTCCAGGCTGGAGTGCAATGGTGTGATCTCGGCTCGCTGCAACCTCCGCCTCCTGGGTTCAGGCAATTCTCCTGCCTCAGCCTCCTGAGTAGCTGGGATTACAGGCACACGCCACCATGCCCAGCTAATTTTTTGTATTTTTTTTTTCTTTTTTTAGACGGAGTTTCGCTCTTGTTACCCAGGCTGGAGTGCAATGGCGCGATCTCGGCGCACCGCAACCTCCACCTCCTGGGTTCAGGCAATTCTCCTGCCTCAGCCTCCTGAGTAGCTGGGATTACAGGCACGCGCCACCATGCCCAGCTAATTTTTTGTATTTTTAGTAGAGACGGGGTTTCACCATGTTGACCAGGATGGTCTCGATCTCTTGACCTTGTGATCCACCCGCCTCGGCCTCCCAAAGTGCTGGGATTACAGGCTTGAGCCACCGCACCCGGCCTAATTTTTTGTATTTTTAGTAGAGACGGGGTTTCACCATGTTGACCAGGATGGTCTCGATCTCTTGACCTCGTGATCCACCTGCCTCAGCCTCCCAAAGTGCTGGGATTACAAGCTTAAGCCACTGCACCCGGCCTCCTGGTTATTTTATTTTATTTTTTTATTTTTAGTAGAGACAGGGTTTCACCATATTGGCCAGGATGGTCTTGATCTCCTGACCTTGTGATCCACCCACCTTGGCCTCCCAAAGTGCTGGGATTACAGGCATGACCACCATGCCTGGCCTGTAATTTTCTTTTTTAGAGACAGGATCTTGCTCTGTCATCCAGGGTGGAAGGCAGTGGCTTGATCATTACACACTGCAGCCTCCAGTTCCTGAACTCAAGCAATCCTCCCACTTTAGTCTCCCAAGTAGCTGAGACTACAGGCACATGCCACCATGCCTGGCTAATTTTGTAATTTTTGGTTGAGATGAGGATCTCACCATGTTGCCCAGGCTGGCCTCCAACTTCTGGGCTTAAGCAGTTCTCCTACCGTGGTGTCTCAAAGTGCTGTGAATACAGGCATGAGCCACCATGGTTGGCCCACAAAGTAGGCTCCATTGTCCAGACACATTGTCCTCCTCTTAAAGGAGCCTCTGAACATCCTTCTCCTGGGCTTGGCCCTGGCTTCAGCAGTGACTGACATGGAAGTGAGGCCCCCAGCGCCACCTGCCCAGCCCACCTGGCTCTACCAGCAGGAGGACGACACTCACTTGGTCTCCTCCAGCTCCTCTGTCCTCTGGATGGCATCGGTCTCATACTTGGTCCTCCAGGTGGTGACCTCAGTGTTGAGTTTGGACACGAGGCGCTGCAGCTCCGACTTGCCTCCCTGTTCCTCCTCCAGCTGCTCCTTCAGCAGGTCCAGGTCATGCTTGGTGTTGGCCAGGCTCACCACGGCGGTGCTGCGAGACTGTGGGGACCAGCCTGTCAAGGGCCTGTGGGGGCTTTCTGCAGCCTGCAGGGCCACCACTTAGTTATACATAACACTGGAGCAGCAGTGATGGCAGGTGAAAGGGGGGAAAGACACACGATTGCCAATCCAAACCATCAGGGTTTTACTTTCATCCTATAATTTATTTTCATTCTATTATTGTCCACAAAGATATATAATTTCATTTCATTTGTGTAAGAGAGAGGGGAACAGGGAAGGTGCATCACGTAACTTTCAGGGGCAAATTTTATCCTGCTTGTGGCCCTATTTATTTATTTGAGACATTGTCTCAGTATGTACACATCACATACTATAGTTTTGTAGTTAATTTTTTTACTTGCTATGATATCAAATACTTTTTGTGTTCCTTTGACATCTTCATAATATGTAACTTTCATTAGCTGGGTGTGCACAGTGTGCACCACCAATCTTTTTTTTTTTTTTTCTTTTCTGAAATGGAGTTTCACTCTTGTCACCCAGGTTGGAGTGTAATGGTGTGATCTCGGCTCCCTGCAACCTCTGCCTCCTGGGTTCAAGCAAGTCTCCTGTCTAAGCCTCCCAAGTAGCTGGGATTTTAGGCGCCCAACCACACCTGGCTAATTTTTGTATTTTTAGTAGAGACAGGGTTTCGCCATGTTGGCCAGACTGGTCTCGAACTCCTGATCCACCTGCCTTGGCCTCCCAGAGTGCTGGGATTACAGGCATGAGCCAACCTCACCCGGCTGTAAACTATAACTTTAAGGAGGCGGCTCTGTCACCACCACAACCCTACCCCCAAACAAACCTTTGACTCTTCATCCAGCTGCCTCTTATAATCATCCACTTGTGATGTCAGAGATGTCTTTATCCGTAGGATTTGATTGAGCCTGCTCTGGGATTCTTCATATTCCCTGCTCAGTTCACTATTTTCAGCTGGGTGGGAAGGGAATGGAAGAAATATTGGATGAAGAACTGTTTCCCCAGCTAGATCCTCAGTTCCCCAAGGCATTGCTTCTAAAGTACCCAATAAATACGGTGGCTTGGCCAGCTGAGCTGGAATGGGGAGAGCAGTGGATCACCACACCAGCCTCCAAATGAAGTGTGCCCGGGAGAAAGGCAAGTGCTCAAGGGTTGCCAAGATCCAGGTGGTCTGCATGGAGCTAGGGGCCTCAGATAATGAAGCCACCCGTTTCCTACATGTCAGGAAATGCAGCAGAGGAGTTTGGAGAAATGATGGGACAGACAGAGAGTATTTCCTTTGTAAAATATGTTTGTCACCATTCCAGAACCTACACTCCTGTCGTCTGTGGAAAGATTGCTGGAGCCAGAGGCCAGGAAGAAGTTCATGAGCCCCAGAGGAAAAGCAAGGATTTCCAGTTCTACTCTGTAAGTCACTGAGCTTTACTTTTCTTATCCATCAAATGGGGATACTGACTTTTCTTTCTGTTTTTTTTTTTTTTTTTTTTTTTTTTTTTTGAGGCAGGGTATTGCTTGGTTGCCCAGGCTTAAGTGCAATGGCACAATCATAACTCATTGCAGCCTTGAACTCCTGAGCTTAAGCGATCCTCCCACCTCAACCTCCCAAGTATCTGGGACCACCAGTGTGGCTTACCACACCCACCTATTAAAAATTTTTTTTTTTGTAGAGATGGGGGTCTTGCTATGTTCCCCAGGCTAGTCTCTAACTCCTGGCCTCAAGTAATTCTCCCGCCTTGGTCTGTCTCCCGAAGTACTGGAATTGTAAGCATGAGCCACTGCACTGAGCCAAGATATTGTTAAAGAATTCCAAATGTGAGAAATAAGACCAAAGGATGCCTGCAAGTTCTCTTGATGTCACACTGAAGCACTAACAGGCCCACCTGAAGTCAGCAGTATTTAGTTCTCTAAGGAAATGCACCTTTGTTTGACTTGCTGTTTACTCCTGTGTGATTAGAGTACAGCTTCTGCAGTTAGAAATTAACTGATACATTGATAAATTGCCAGTTATTTTTGTTACAGAGATGCAAACATGCATCTCTATGACAAAGGTGCCAATTATTTTTGTTATAGAGATGCCAATTTTGTTTTGTTATTGCCAATTATTTTTTATTTTTATTTTTTTTGAGACGGAGTTTTGCTCTTGTTACTCAGGCTGGAGTGCAATGGCACGATCTTGGCTCACCGCAACCTCCGCCTCCTGGGTTCAGGCAATTCTCCTGCCTCAGCCTTCTGAGTAGCTGGGATTACAGGCGTGCACCACCATGCCCAGCTAATTTTTTGTATTTTTAGTAGAGATGGGGTTTCACCATGTTGACCACGTTGGTCTCGATCTCTTGACCTCGTGATCCACCTGCCTCGGCCTCCCAAAGTGCTGGGATTACAGGCTTGAGCCACTGCGCCCGGCCTGCCAATTATTTTTGTTTTAGTGATGCAAAGATGGATCTCTATGACAAAGGTGCATTTCTTCGAGCATCGGAAAAAAAACCCTTGAACTAAACCCAGAGATTACAGTATTATTGTCCTGTAGGACATTAACCAGTTCTGCATCTAACTTAGCAAAGTTATTTTAGCATTTCTTTTCCCAGCTGACTGTAAATCTCTGCCTTTCAAATGCTCTTTGAAGGCAGCTTTACCATTTTTGTGGTTCCCTCATTAAGGAGTTAAACAAATCCTTGACACATGTCTGCTTTATATTAGTATGTGGGTCATGTTTAAAAATGTTTGAAAATTGTATTTTGTCAGCATGAATGCCTGTCCTGCTGATCTCACCAGGTAGGTGAGAGAACGGATACCAAAATGCTTTGAATTGTGTTCTCTGTTTTGCATTGTAAAGATGTTACTTGGAATATTCAGCAGGTGGGATAAAATCTCATCTCATCACAAGGGGATTGGATGGGAATCTTCCAAGGCCAAGAAAGCAATGTTTCCCTGAGAATCCCAGTTCCTTTCCGTACACTGGTCCTTAGCAAGCTGCAGGGAGGAGAGGGCTCACCTTGGAGGCGGGTCCTAATGGCATTGATTTCTGCTTGGTTTCGCTCTAGCTCTGCCACCTTGGCGTTGGCTTCTGATAAGCTGTCTTCCAGCTTTCTGACGTGGGCCTCGGCGTTCATCTGCTCAGGAAGGATGAACTCAGTGGGGAAGTCGCGGGTGGGAGAGGCCAACCCTTCTTACTTCCTCCTCAATTTTTGCCATTTCTCCTGTGTGCCTCCCAGGCTACCTGCCTAGTCCTAGAATGTCCCGGTCTCAGAAACCCCAAATGGTTCACCATTGTCTTGTCTTTTTTTTTTTTTTTTTTTTTGAGACAGGGTCTCGCTCTATCACCCAGGCTGGAGTGCATTGGTGCAATCATAGCTCACTGTAGCCTCAACATCCTGGGCTCAAGCAATCATCTCACCCCAGCCTTCTGAGTAGCTGGGACCACAGGCACATGCTATCATACCTGGCTAATTATTTTTATTTTTTGTAGGGACAGGGTTTCACTATGTTGCCCAGGCTGGTCTCAAACTGGGCTCAAGTGATCTGTCTGCCTTGGCCTCTCAGAGTGCTGGGATTACAGGCATTAGCCACTGTGCCTGGCCTACTGACCATTTCTTATGTGCCAGGGAATATTGCAGCCTTCACAGTAGCACTCTAAGGTGGGGATTATTACAATCATCTTCATGTTACAGATGAAGAAATTGAAGCAGAGTTAGGTTATTATTTTTTATTTTTTATTTTGAGATGGAGTCTCGCTCTGTTGCCCAGGCTGGAGTGCAGTGGAGTGATCTTGGCTCACTGCATCCTCCACCTCCCGGGTTCAAGCGATTCTCTTGCCTCAGCCTCCTGAGTAGCTGGGACTACAGGTGTGTGCCACCATGCCTGGCTAATTTTTATAAGCCATGGTGCCTGGCTGTAAGCTACCATGCCTGGCAGGTTATTTTATTTTAGAGACCCGGTCTCCCTCTGTTGCCCAGGCTGGAGTGCAGTGGTGCGGTCATATTCACTACAGTCTCAACATTTTAGGCTCAAGCAATCCTCCTGCCTCAGCTTCCCGAGTACTACAGGTGCATGCTACCATGCCTGGCTAATTTTATTTTTTGTAGAGATGAGGCTGGTCCCCAACTCCTGGCCTCCCAAGAGCGATCCTCCTGCCCCAGTCTCCCAAAGTGCTGGAATTACAGGAGTCAGCCACTGTGCCCAGCAAACATTTATGTTATTCACCTTGGACTTCTGCATGGTCTCCACGCTGGCATTGAGGTCATCAATCTCAGCCTTCATGACCTGTTTATCCTTCTCCAGCTTGGACTTGACCCTCTGCAGGTTCTCCACATGCTCCGTTAACTCGGCCATCGAGTCCATGTGCTTCTTGCGCAGTGTGGAGGCTGTCGCCTCACTCTGCAGGGCAGCCTCTTCCAGCTCCCGCCGCAGCTTTAGCAGCTCAGCCTCCCGCTTGCGGTTCTGCTCGATCTGGGGTAGAGGAGGAGCGGCTTAGCAGAACTGGCCAGTGCCAGCCTTTTCAGGGTGCTCGGCGGTCCCCTGATATTCCTGCACCTTGCTCAAAGAAGTCCTACTTGAAATGCCAATGCTTAGCCTCTGGGGTGCAGGGGTTGTTCACAGGATTTGTTTAGAGGGGGTTGTGTGTTACTGTGCCATCCAAAAAGATATACTCAAGTCCTAATCCTGGGTCCCTGTGAATATAACCTGATTTGGACATAGGATCTTTGCAGATAGAGCTGGTTAAGATGTCATACGGATTAGGGTGGGCCCTAAGCTAATGACTGACTGATGTCCTTTCTTTTTTTTTTTGAGGAGTTTCACTTTTGCCCCCCAGGCTGCAGTGCAGTGGTGCAATCTTGGCTTACTGCAACCTCCGCCTCTGGGGTTCAAATGGTTCTTCTGCCTCAGCCTCCTGAGTAGCTGGGACTACAGGCACCTGCCACCACTCCCGGCTAATTTTTGTATTTTTAGTAAAGACAGGGTTTCACCATGTTGGCCAGGTTTGTCTCGAACTGCTGACCTCAGGTGATCCGCCTGCCTTGGCCTCCCAAAGGGCTGGGATTACAGACAATAGCCACCATGCCCCGCCTGATGTCCTTTTCAGAAAAGGGAAACTTGGACCCAGAGAGACACACATAAAGAAGGCCCTATGATTGGGAGGATGCATCTAGCCAGGAGCTCCAAGGATTGTTGGCTGCCACTGGAGGCTGGGAAAGGGGGATGAAACATTCTCCCTCAGGGCCTCCAGAAGGAGCCAACCCTACCCACATCTTGTTTTCAGACTTCTAGCCTCCTAATTGTGAAAGAATACCATCTGGAGGTTTTAAGCCACCGAGTCTGTGATGCCCTCCTTTCCCCTCCTCTCCCATCCCCTCCCCTCCCTTTTTTTTTTTTTTTTTTAAATGCAGAGTCTTACTCTGTCATCCAGTCTGGAGTGCAGTGGTATGATCTTGGCTCACTGCAACCTCAACTTCCTGGGCCCAAGCAATCCTCCCACCTCAGCCTCCTGAGTAGCTGGGACTAAAGGGGCCCGCCACTACTACCAGCGATTTTTCTTTTTGTAGAGATGGAGTCTTGCTATGTTGCCAGGCTAGTCACAAACTCCTGGCCTCAAGTGATCCTCCAGCTTCAGCTTCTCAAAATGTTGGGATATAGGCATGAGCCACCACACCGTTGCCCCTGTTGTTTTTAAACCCTTCCTACACTGCTAGAAATCATCCCCGTCCCTTCGTTGATGCTTTGTCATTCATATCATGTGGAATGATTTTGTTTCCTGCCAGGACCCTGACCACAGCTGGGCACCAGCTTCAGATCTAGGCACATACCCTTACTGAGAGGACTGTGGCCAGGTTGATGAGGCAGTGGACATGGAGTCCAGGCAGCGCCAAGTAAAGGGGCCCAGACTTCCAGCAGCTGTGACTGAGGAGAGCTGATGACATGCAATTAGAAAGAGAAGGCCACAAGGCTTCTGCTGGTCTCCATGATACCTTCATGTGAATTAGAAGACGCAGCCCTATACCAGGAGGTGAGGCTTGGGTCTCAGCCCCATTTGCCTCTCAGAGGACTGCCTTTGAAGTGTGGAATAGTGAGGTTACCCCACTGTATTAACCATGTCTTTATTTTCTATATTCAATGCTTTGACATCTGGGTTTTTGCTATCTCTAGAGGGACACCCTGCCCTACCCTAGGGATAGCCAGTTCATAGAGATAGCAAACAACTCACCCTTGAGCACACTATTCAAATGCAAACCAGCCAGTCTGGAACCCACACGCCCAACCACCTCCTTTATGGGGCTCTCACATTTCTTTTTTTTTTTTTTTTGAGGTGGAGTTTTACTCTGTTGCCTAGGCTGGAGTACAATGGTGTGATCTCGGCTCACTACAACTTCTGCCTCCTGAGTTCAAGTGATTCTCCTGCCCCAGCCTTCTGAGTAGCTGGGATTACAGGCACCCACCATCACACCCAGCTAATTTTTTCTATTTTTAGTAGATATGGGGTTCCACCATGTTGGCCAGGCTGGTTTTGAACTCCTAACCTCAGGAGATCCACCCATCTCAGCCTCCCAGAGTGCTGGAATCACAGGCATGAGCCACCGCGCCCGGCTGGGCTCTCACGTTTCTACTCACTATACTCCTGCCTTAATCAGTCCAGGTCCAGATACTGACAACGAGGGTCAGCCCTGAAGTCCACTGAGATTGTCCAAACCGGCCAGTCGGGCGCCTGCTTGCCCTGCCTCACCTGTTCCTTCCCATGGGAGCCACAGTAAAGGCCTTTGCCTACATTTTTCCCTGTCCTCTGCCTTCTAACCAAACCCAATGCTTCTTTGGCCCTGCACAGCATGCTGTTCCCCCTCCTCTTGGGAACTGTGAGTAGCAAACTCTTTCTGTTTGTTTTTGAGAGACAGGGTCTTCCTCTGTCACCCAGGCTGAAGTGCAGTGGTGCCATAGTGGCTTACCACAGCCTCCACCTCCCAAAGCTCAAGTGATCCTCCTACTTTAGCCTCTTGAGTAGCTAGAACTAGAACGTGTCACCATGCCCAGGTTTGGTTTTTTTTTTTTTTTTGAGAGATGGGGTTTTGTTGTGTTGCCAAAGCTGGCCAGAAACCCCTGGGCTCAAGTGATCCTTCTGCCTTGGCTTCTCCAGGTGTTGGGATTATAGGTGTGAGCCATCATTTGAAAATTATTAATTGGTTTCTCCTAAAGTTCATCTCAGGAACCCTAGCAAGAATGAACCAGTCTTTACCCTACTGCTCACAGTCCAGCATTTTTTCCCCTAAATGCAGGTGGGGCTTGGGGGTTTCTGAGCGCGCTGGGATGGGTACCTGAGCAGATGTGGCTCCACCAGCTTCTTCCAGCCTGTCACTGAGGTCTTCGAGGTCCCGGGACAGATCGCTGCGTTGTTTCTCCACCTGAGATGAAAAAAAAATTTATTTTATTTTATTTTTTTTTTTAAGATACAGCCTTCCTCTGTGGTTCAGGCTGGAGTGCAGCGGCGCCATCTTGACTCGCTGCAACCTTTGCCTGCCTGGCTCACGCAATCCTCTAACCTCAGCCTCCCGAGTAGCTGACACTACAGGCACATGCCACCACATCTGGCTAATCTGTAAATTTTTTATAGAGATGGGGTTTCACCATGTTGCCCAGGCTGGTATCCTGGTCTCAAGTGATCCTCCTGCCTTGGTCTCCCAAAGTATTCAGATTATAGGCATGAGCCACTGTGCCTGGCCACTGGGTGAGATTTAATGATACCGATGATAACCACCCAGAGCTCCTTTTTCTCCGTAAAGAGCATGATGACTGCTTTACCTTTGAAAAGCCAGGATTCTGTGCCTGGGGTCCTTGTACCCTGCCTGTCATCCCGCAGGCTCAGTGAAGGACACCGTCTTCCCCACACTGCCTGGGCATTAGTGCCCATCCTATCCACCGCCTGTCCAATTTGGCTGAATTTGGGGTTAGATATGCTGTGATTTGTCTCCCACTAGCTCTCTGGGTTCACTGTCCTGTAGGATCCCTACCGTCAAGCCTCCCTCCACACTCTGTTCTTGCTAACACATGCTTTCTCTGTCTACACTTTTGTCCCCATGAAGGTAGGTGCTATTTGATTCCCTTTGCCTAGACACTCCTCCCTGTATCTGCCTGTTGAATTCCATCTTTGAGATCAAGATCCTCCCGCCTCAGCCTTTCCAGTAGCTGGGACCACAGGCTGGCTCCATCATGCCCAGTTAATTTTTGTATTTTTTGTAAAGATGGAGTCTTGCTATGTTGCCTAGGCTGGTTTTGAGCTCCTGGCCTCAAGCCATCCTCTCACTTTGACCTCCTGAAGTGCTGGGATTACAGGCATGAGCCACCATGCCCAACCCCAAGTCACAGGCTTTTATGATGCCTCCCTACCCTGCTGAGTCCTCTGTTCCCGGGGGTGGTGGCACTTGTCTCCTCCCCAGTGCCCACCAGGTATTGTGTGATGCTGTGTATTGCCTTTCCTCCCCCGTGTGCCCCAGGTAGAACCAGCCTCTTCTTCTCTGGACTCAAGCCACACAGAGTATCTGCCTTTTACATCATGATTAATGTGGATTAATTGAATACCTACTGTGTGCCAGTTCAGTCCCTGACACACAGTAAGTATGCAAGAAGCAACTAGACTTTTTAGCTGGACACCTGTCTCCTCTACTGGTTTCCTTAGCGGAGGTTTCTATTCATGGTTGGATGTGTGGCTGCTATTAGGTCTTTTGACTCAAGAAGGGGAAACATATTTCATTTACCTTGGCTCTCATGGCCCTCTCGGCTTCTAGTTCTTCTTCCAGCTCTTCAATTCGGGCCTAGCAGACAGAGAAGGGAGAGGATTCATCTCTCGTGCAAAGTTAGTAAGTTAGCCCCTTAGCCTTTTAGGATGGAAAATGGGATGTGAGAATATGACAGCTACTGTCAAAAGCAGAGAGAAGCAGATCCCAGTGAGCGTGCACAAAGGCCCTGAGGCAGGCAGGAGGGGACCTGGCATGTGTGACACCCGGCGAGGAGCCAGCATGCCTGGATACAGTGGAGGGAAACACTCAGTGATGAGGTCAAGTGGGAAGCAGAGGTTGGAGGTTGGAGGTTGGAGGGCCTCATGACCACCATAGGGACTTTGGATTTCACCCCTAGCGAGGAGAACAGGTTGATCTCCAAGGACTCCATGGCAATCTTGCTTCTCAGGAACATTCAGCTGCCCAGTAGCTGACATGAACAAAGGGTTCAGAGTGGTGCATTTCCAATGGAAAGCTCAGGCTTCTTGCTCCTGGACATACCTGGTGCTCCTTCAGTTTCCGCTGCAGCGTGGAATTCAGAGACTGCTCATCCTCATATTTCGAGTTGATGGAGTTTATTTCCAAATCTCTCCTACAAGGGAAGGGATGGTCTCCTGAGGAAAGGCTCTGAGGGTAGACCAGTGAGCTGGTGAGGGAATGGCACCCAGGTTGCCAGAGGAGGCCTTGAACCTGCTGAAACGCATGCACCTTGCAGCCCTTCTGGACTTCTGTGGTGACAGCCCAGAAGGTCTCACCTATAGAGCAGTTAGACCCCTGAATGAGCTCCTCAGACTTTTCATCACTCATTCATTCACACATTTACTAAGGTGACACTTTTTTTTTGAGACAGGGTCTTGCTCTGTTCAGCCCAGACTGCAGTGCAGTGGCATAATCATGGCTCACTGCAGCCGCAACCTCCTGGGCTTAAGTGATCCTCCCACCTCAGCCTTTCCAGTTGCTGGGACCACAGGCTGGCTCCATCATGCCCAGTTAATTTTTGTATTTTTTGTAGAGATGGGGTCTTGCTATGTTGCCTAGGCTGGTCTTGAGCTCCTGGCCTCAAGCCATCCTCTCACTTTGACCTCCTAAAGTGCTGGGATTACAGGCGTGAGCTACCATGCCCAACCCCAAGTCACAGGCTTTTATGATGCCTCCCTACCCTGCTGAGTCCTCTGTTCCCAGGGGTGGTGGCACTTGTCTCCTCCCCAGTGCCCACCAGGTATTCTGTGATGCTGTGTATTGCCTGCAGACAGTGAAGCCCCTACCTCTCTGCATATCCTCCATGCCTGGTAGGTGCTTGGGATGTGCACGAATGTATGTGAGGCCCTCCCTATAGTGCTTGGCTCCTGGCACCCTTCAGGCAGCTCCAGGTATTGCTACCATTGTGACAGACAAAGCAAACGATGACACAGACGTACTTTTTCACCACCTCCTCAAGATCCAGCTTGGAACGCTCCATCTCATTGAGGTTGTCGATGGTCATCTTCAGGTCACTCTCAGCCTTCCGACGAGCCTTTTCCACCTCTGCCCGGATTTTCTTTTCCTGCTCCCAGTTATCCTCCAGCTACGGAGACAAGAACAGCAAGAGAAGGCAGAAGAGGAAAGTCTGAGGTCAGAAAGCAAGAAGGAACCAGACTGGGTCTGATCCTTTAGCTGTGGCCTCAGAAGGGCTCTAACATCCCAGGGGATGCATTGGTTCAGTTCCCAAAACGTATCTTCGGACCCTGTGCCCCTAGAGGGATCTGGCCTTGGAGTTGTAGAAACGGCCATGGCAATGGGTGTTACCTCATGGATCTGCGTGTTCAGCTTGCTGTTACTCTTGGTCAGGTGGTTCACCTTGTCCTCCTCAGCCTGCAGGTCGTCCAGGGTTTTCTGGAAGGAAGGATACACATATGAGTGCCACAAGGCCCAGTGGGAGCAGCTGAACAGGCCTGATTCTCAGTCGTCACTTCCAATCTATGCAGCTCCCAGGCTTTGGGGAGTTGACTTGACTTTCAGTGAGTAGGTACTGAGCACCTGCTCCTGGCGCTGGGTGAGGCCAGAGCAGATGTACCTGAGCCACCCATCAGGGAGGTTAATTGCTTGAGCCAGGGAGGTTAAGGCTTCAGTGAGCTCTGATCATACCACTGCACTCCAGCCTGGGTGACAGAGTCAGACTCTGTCTCTGCAAAATGATACGAAAATCAGCTAGGCATGGTGGCACACATCTGTAGTGCCAGCTGCTCAGGAGACTGAGGTAGGATGA